GAGGCTCTTCCTCACCCTGCTTCATTCTCAGCCCACACCTTCTCCCTTGCAGGGGGAATAGGATACTGGGGTGCCAGTGTGGGGGGGCACAGCCTCTGCCGCTTGTGGGTGTACAGGTACCAGCCCCAGCCCTGCTCTGACCCTGAACTAGGAGTGTCTGGGCAGTGGTATGTGCACACCTGCCCAGGGAAGGCAACCCTGTCTGCCTGTGGGAATCCTCCTCTGCCTGCACAGCTGCCTTCACTCCCATGTTAGTCTGAGCCTCCACCTGCCCCGGGTGCAAGGGACAGCCTTGGGGTTGCAGCAGTAAGTCAGTAAGGGTACGTTCCCTGAGGTTTTAAACAGTGAAAGGAGGAGCCTGAGCCACAGCTGAGAGGGAAGAAGTGTATATCCATCCAGCTGGTTCATAACATACTTAAAATGTTTGAGATGTCTGGTATGGGCCTTTACAGGCTGCCTACCCACACGGTAGGGATGAGATGGCTGTGACAAGTTTGGCTTTTATGGGTGAGACTTGGTTGTGAGTCTTGCACTCTCAGATCTTGAAGCTGTGTCTGTCCCAGCCTCACCTGGAGCCAGCGCTGGCATCGGAGCTGCTGTGGGTACTGCTGCGTGTGCTGCTCCTGCCAGTGGGCTGCTTCCCTCCCTGGCAGCAAATGCATCACTGAGTTTTTTTACCCCATCCTCAAAATAATCTCGGAGTAGAGAGGGGAGGGGTTTGCACAGCTGCTGGGGCCGTGAGACGAGCCAGGATGAGCTGTGGCCGTCAATCAGCCATCGCAGACATGGTTTGGGGAGATCTGGCAAAGCAATGCGCAGTGACTTGAGTCAAAACCACATCTCTTGTAGGAGCAACTGATCTGCTCCTCCCCCTCAACCCCAAAAAGCTGCTTTGAAATGTTTCATTGAATCAAAAAACCCCAACTCCTTTCCAATACTTTGCTAGGAGGAGATCGTTGTAGCAGGGGCCTCTAGATGGCAACATCGACCTGAAGCAGGAACAGGGCCCCTCCGGACCGAGCAGCCTGGCCCGCAGGGGACCCCCAGGCCCCGTACCCCCAGTGGTGGAACACGAATCGGTGCTGCCTCGGGCACCTTCCTGCAGGGGCTGGGGACAGGGCCGGCCCCTCAAGGGTGCCTGCGCCCTGAAAACCTCCTAGACTGCGCACGTCAGCAGTGCGTTAAGGGGGTTTCTCTGCAGTGGACCCTCAATCGATGCTCTCGGCACCTGCTCTGCGGGCACAGGGGAATAAACGTCACGGTGGGTCTGTCGGCTCTGCAAGGTGGGCATGGCTGGAGCTGCTGGCAGGTCTTTGTGCTGGGATCACCCTCCAACCTCCCAGAGTCCACGGAAAGTTGAGATATGTGATAGGAAATGGGGGTCGCTGCCTGCTCATCCCCCTCTGCTGCCTGTCTGCGGGCAGGGCCGTAAAGCGAAGGCATCGGGCTTCGGTGTGGAGTCAGGAGCACCAACATTGTTGTTTGATGCTCAAAGGCTGCGCTAGAAATTGCGGATTTCTGGTAAATCAGGGTAAACCCTCCAGTGGCGCCCTCCGTTCAAAAGGCTTCTGTGACACCAGAAACTGAAGTTTAAATTACCCACCTTTAGCCACACAGGCATAACTGAAGCACCACAACCTTTGGGTGGGAGTATCGGTGCGGCATGTCCTTACTGCAGTGTAAGGGTGTGCTGCCAGAGGTCGTGGGGAGGGGGGAAAAGTCCTACCCCTGCCTGAAACAGGACCCACAGTTTGTACAAAGCAAGGCCTGGGCTTCTCTTTTGCAAAGTAGGTTTAGTCTGTGCTCAGGGAGCTGCAAAGCTTAATTAAGATCCTTAAAAGGACAAAAGGTGCTACATAAATTCAGGGGATTATTAGAAATGTCACTGAGCTTTACAAGCTCTGGCAAAACTCACAGGAGGAATAACAAGACATTTAACTCCGCAGCCCTTCCTAGCAGGGCTTCTTACAGCTTCATGCTTCAACATAGCAGCCGTAAAATGTTGACATTTATAATTAGATGTGCATAATAATCTCTTTATTCCTAAATTGAAAAGACAGGGTGTGTCTTGAAACGTCAGTTCCTCCTCCTGGCCGAGGATCCCTCTTAACTGGGATTGCTCACGAAAACATCATTTGGCAAAATGTCTCGGGGCCTGGTTCGAAGTGGTGCTGGATCTTTGCAGCTCCCCCGGGGAGCTGTGGGCTGGGCACTTAGTGAATAAAATCAAAGCCTCCGTGTGTTTTAATCTGATTAGTTGATGATAATCTAGGGGTATCATGTAGCAAAAGCTGTCCAGCTTTATTAGGCAATCTCTTGTTTTAAGAGAACTGTGCTCCAGGGACCGGCAGAAATGGGTGATTTTGGGTGGATTTTACTGTGTTGTGAGAGTAGAATTAATTTGGGGCTTGGACAGCTGGGCAGCGATGGATTTTGATCCCGTGGGTGCCATCAGCAGCTTTGTACAGCCTCTCTGCCAGGGTGGTCGGTGGTGGAGGGGGCAAAGGGCTGCCCGGGTCAGATGGGGGCTGGAGGTGGGGGATCGCCCCCTCCCCCCGGTCCCGGCGCACCGGGTCGGAGCTGGGGGCCCTCAAACCGGGGCCGGTCCCGGCGCACCGGGTCGGAGCTGGGGGACCTCAAACCGGGGTCGGTCCCGGCGCACCGGGTCGGAGCTGGGGGCCCTCAAACCGGGGCCGGTCCCGGCGCACCGGGTCGGAGCTGGGGG